TGCAACGTATGGTGGAACACCTAGAAAATGACGTATAGTCGATATAGATCCTCCAAAATTTGGTGGGAGAACTAAATCGATTCACATTGTTTGAAAAAGGGGACAGTCTCATTGGTGGAAGGAAGTCTCAAGTAAACTCTTCAAATGAGGATTGGTTTGTGCTAAAGAAGCTCGTGCAAATTCAGCGTAATACTAATCAAACATTGAATTATGGCTTACATTCAAAGAATTTATTGTTCAAAATTACGCTCCCTAAAATAGATGGGTTTTGCAATGATAAATCATTATTTTTCCTAGTGCATTTGATGGTGGGTTCTTGTGGGTTCTTTAGAGAGTGCAAGCGGTGAAGCAACCACGCTACGAGCTTTTGGGCCTAGGCAATTTTTTAATTATAGGGGGTATTATTGTAAAATTGGATTTTCTTCGTTTCTTCATATATAGGAGAAGAGCTAGTCACAAGAGGCAGTTCCTCATGGAGTAGGTTCATCAAACAACATTGAAATTCTTTGTGTTATTTCGTTTTTACCTCTTTCACTTTAATTTGTGTATATTGCATGGGTGATTTCTCAACATGAAGTTCCTACAAAGATGAAGGTCACTAATCCTAAGCCCTTCATTGGTACTTGAGCAAAAAGGATTCCAAAAATTTTCTTGTGGGATCTAGATCAATACTCCAAGGTTCCTCATGTTCTTAATACTGACAAAGTAATGATAACAACTATTTATTTCTCAAGATGCAAATTATCTCAAAAAAAAATTCTCAAGATGCAAAACTTTGGTGGAGAACTTGAGTAAAAGATGTGAATCGTGCCAAAATAGAGAGGTGGGAAAGCTTGAAATAAAAAGTTGTATATGTGCATTAATATTGGTACCAAGAGGGTACCACCTATTTACAAGCTTGAAACCATAATTAAAGTAGTTTATACCTTGCAACATAGCATTGGTTGCCAAAGACTCGATTAAGAAATCTAAGTAGACTGGTATTTTCCAGACTATGTGAAGAGTCCAATTCCCAAATGTTGGATATTTGAAGTACATTGGAAGAAGACGAGCTATACAATTTTACTTTCAGGCTTCAATCTTGAGTGTATATCGGATTGGGGGGACAAGGAGTCAAAGATTTGCAAAACGTGATAGTTGCAGCCGATAGCCTCTTCGATTTTTGTTCCTCCAACCAAAATAATGTGAACTCAAGGAAATCAAAAAGCAAAAAAAAAGGAAGGGAAATGGCATAACATGACAAAGGCAAGGAAAGTGCTAAAGAGAAGACCAAAGTGAATTCTCAAAAGAAAGGTAAATTTATTTGGAGTTGCTTTTAGTAATGGTCCTCACAAGGCCAAAACAATTGTCCACAAAGGGGAAATTTTTCAAATTTAGCCAAAAATGGGAATTCAAGCAAGAATCATGTGAAGATTCCAATGTGGTGAACCCCCTCTAGTTGTTGAACATGCAATCTACACAAATTAATCAACACTTGATTGGCTTGTTGTACGGAGATTTGTGGTAAACAAGAAAGAGTTGATGGATGACTGACATGAACCAGACACAAAACTCACCAAAATGTAACAATTCCTTGGGGTTACAATTGTTCAAAAGGACAATCTATGATTTATGTGACTGATTTATGTTCTAGTTTTACTAGTTCTTTTTCTTTTTTCAGAGAATGCTATGGATATATGTATGGCTACATAGGCTGTTTGAAGAAAGTTCATGAGGGTTTTATGAGAAACATTCTGTGTTGGTCATATTATATTGACCAGAACTGTGATAGGTCATATGTCTCAATGACTAATGGGAATTAATGTTATGGATCTGGCAAAGCTGTTTTCTTTGATTATGGTCTTGAAAAAAATGACAGTAGGAAACATTTTTTGTGGTGGGAAACATTTTTGTAACTATTATTATTATTTAGTCTTCTAAATTAATTTAGGCAATTAAGGGAGGATTTGAGTAGGCTCATTCATTAAGATTTTTAGAAACTTTTATTCCATTTGTAAGTTTGCTTCTTAACTGTAATTAATACATGTAAAAAGTTACAACCTATGTAATAAAAAATAAGATAAAATTAATTATTATTTGCCAACACTATTTCCTGTCTTATCTCTGCTTGAGTTCCTTTTTGTTCTAGCTTTGTGCTCTCCTATAATCTATCAGTTGCTCCCCTGTTGTTCTTCACCGTAATCCTAATCCCCTGTTGCCTCTAAAATCATTCCTATTTTTCATCATCAATTCCTCTAATTTATTCTGTTGCACATCAGTTAGTCCCATGCTCTAATTCCTCTAATGTATTGTGTCTCACATCAATTCCTCAATTCCTCTAATTCATTCTACAGCACATCAGTTTAGTGTCATCCCTTAGGATGTGCTGCATCAATTATATTTCTGGAAAACTACATAAATAGCTTATAGCATAGCATATGCAATCTAAAGCAACTATAACAAAGCAGGGAGGGAAATAGAGGTTATCTCCTCAAGATATTAACAGAAAATTAGAATGATATGCAGTACTATGTTTTACAGGATAATTTCAAAAAACACTGAATAACTTCTTTTAAAATAAAATTCTTAGTAACTAACTTGTGTTGGGGATTCATCAAGTCAAGTACGGGCTTCACATGATTCCCTGCAAAAACAAAAGATGAACTAAAGCAAACAAGATCACTAATTCATTATTAGTTTTCACAAAATCCAACATGAATCAAAGTGATTGAAAAATGTCGGATGAATATGGCTCATTACAAGATGACAAGTTCTAAAGATTGAAGTTGTTACAACAAATATAGGCACCTGATTCAAAAAAATGGTTTTCAAACTTCTATCGACTTCAAGCCCTTCCAAAGTACTTGGCTTAGCTTATTTGCTTGTCAACAAAAGCTTATAAACTCCAACAGCATTTTCAATTTCCTAACGTGTCTGGTAAATATCAAAGGCTTATGAACTCTTACAATGAAAGCTGGTAGGAAGTAATTTTATGTTAGATAACTTACATACTCTCTTAAAAAACCGGTAATATCCAAGTAAATGTCCGTGATGTACTCATAATTAAGAAAGTTAGATATTCTCAAATGCAATAAAATTGTAAATTTTTGTCATTTTATCATAAGTAAGAACATATAAGCCATATTTTAAACAATACTAATGGCCTATCAGCTCTTTCTCTTCAAACAATTCAACAGATAGTTTGAAAAGAACTTACGCAAAAAGATAAACTATCGAGCCTCTTAAACCTGATTTCAAGATATTAAAAAAGAAGTTAATCCTCAAACCACGAATCTCTTATCTCCAGAGAAATGTTGATACCCAAAAGCCATTCAACAAACAATAGGGTGAAAGTATCTTCTGGCCATATGATGTAATTTAAATAATAAAGCGGCAATCTTGCGAAGAAAACAAAAAAAAAAAAAAAAAAAGCATGGCACCAATTGCCTGCGTTAAGCAAGAGTCACATATTCATTACCCTGTGAACAAAGAGGCACCTCTGATTCAATAAATTCCTTCCATTTCCATCCTCTAATCCGACCATCATCTCCACAACTTCAAGCAAAAATAAGAAATCGTCAGCAAAAACAAAAAGCAATATTAGGTTCAGACTCTATTGTAAATCAGAAATCGCTACAATTAACAATAAGGCGTGCTTTGACAGCGAACTAGTGCCCTGTGATCTCAATACACGTTATTATTTTCCAACCTGAGCAACAAAGCTTCTTCAGTGTCTCCATAGAACTTGACATCATAAGCAGGCCCATCGTGGCCTTTAAGGAACCCCTCCGGTTCGGCCACCATCAAGCGCTGACCGCTCCTGTAGCTAAAATTGTCCAACTTGGAGATGAGAGACATCATCGAGTAGGATGTTAGGGTTCCGTCGCTGGACGCGGCGACAATGTAGTCAGGACTAGGACTTTGGGATGGCGCCCATACGGTCCTGAATATGGTTCGAGTTTGTATCTCTCTTTCCTTCAGTATGCTCTCCCTATATGCGTCTTCGTCCCAGTTAGTTGCATTTCCATACATTCTTTCCTGGCCTTTCCGAGTCAGTTTGAAGGGTTTTACTTGTTCCCAACGAAGATGTCACAGCGTCGGGCTATGCCCTGGTATGGTGTCTTCTCATAGTGATGAAGAGGAAACGGAGATGGTTAAATCAAAAATTTCTTTCCAATCAAAATCCTAAATTTGCACAAGATTTAAATTTTATGCAGTAAGTAAATCGTCCCTATACTTTAATAGTGTTATATTTTAGTCTTAAATAATATGTTTAATACAAATTAATTCTAAAAAATTTTCTAAATTGCTAAAGTGGTTCTAGGTCCAGTTTGACTTTTTAATTCGGACTAGATTGCTTGGTTTCATCCTCATCTTAGGAAGTTGGGCAGCAATAAGATCTGTTAGTTTTAGTTTGAACCAGTAAACATAAAATTTTAAAGAAATAATATATATACATAATACAATATATATATATATATATATATCATAACCCAAAAAGTGTGAAACCCGTTATGATGATGATGATGCTGTTTCTTTTCTTTTTTATCTCACCATAGGCATTTGCATCCACTATTTGCCTCTCCTTAGTGTCTGTGGCCTCTGTTGCCTTGTTACTCTGATCTGTGTCTACCACTTCTCTCATCTACATTTGTGTTTATTCTCCATTTTTTTCTTATGCTCTTGCATGCGTCTAATATCCTCTCATCTAGCATCTTCTACTTTACATCTCAACCAGTAGCAATGTTAAAGTCTCTTATCTTATAGTATTCTACCTCAACCTTTATTATGCACCTTTTTTGTCGTTTTGTATGATTTTATGTTTAATTATGTTTAAGTTTTTAAAAAAACAAAAAGATATAGGTCTATAAATATTATTAATTCATATTTTATTATGATTATTAAAAATATTTTTTTTTAAGTTTATAACAAATTGAAATGATATTAATCCAATTTCAATCTGGTTTATTCTTTAGTTTTTATTCTGATCTGATCTAATTTTAGAGTATTGGGTACTCCTAAACATCAAGTCCTTCAATAGAAAAAGCATCGCGAATTTAAATTTTGTTTGAAAATCTAAAAAGTGACTTCAGAAGATGACTGACAGGAAAGAGATAATAATAACACAACCAACAGAAACGAATCTATGGAGAATGCACTATTTTCCACTTGACTTTAGTGTTTTAAAGGGCGAATATGAGATCGATAGGGAAAAGCTCAGTACTAGAGCTGGAGAATCTACTAGAAGGGGAGATGAATGTACAATAGAAAGACCTTTCCTCCAAAACTAAAAGACACACAAAAAATTCCTTTTACCTTCTATATCACTTATATAAAACTCTAAAATTCGAAATAATCTCTTATCAAACTCTTCCTTTGTTTATGGTAAGAACGTGATACGGAACTCAAGATCAACAATACAATCCAAACCTCACACAATTTTAATTAGCATCAAAAATTTTTTTTTCAAATAAATATTACCTACTTAACCTACTATAAATAGATGATAGGAACTAATATAATTGAAAAAAATAAAGAATTAGTAGAACACCATAAGAATTATCTTGATAAGTTAAACCAATCTCCCCTAAATGAGAATGATGAAGAATACCTCACAAGTTGAAAATTAAAACTTTATAATTTTATTATTTTAAAACTTGATGATTATAACAATGAACTGAAAACTTATTTATAATTGTAGGCTACGTGAAATACAAGGAAATAAATATTATAATTCAGTTATAATAAATTACATTGAAAAAAATCAAAACTATCATAAGAATAAAATTATATTTAGGAAAATTAAAACCATAATAGTGTAAATATGTTATTCATTTGTGGAAACCTCTTAAATGATGAATATCTTCATTAACTGTAGATGTTTTTGAGTGAAGAAATTTGGAAAATTAGGATCCGTTTATGGTAGGGGGTGGGGAATTAATTGGTCGCTAATAGTCCTAAACTCATGAGCTTTAAGCTTCCTTTTAAGGGTTGGGATTTGTTTTTCTTTTTCTTTAGATTGTGGTTGTCTTTAAGAAGAAAATTAAAGTCATTGTTGATTAAAGGGATGGAATTAGTTGTGATTTTAAGAAGATGTGGGGAAAGCAAGAGGAAACTTTCCATTTAGGAAGGAGTCTTTTTTAAGTTGGGAAGACTTCTCCTATATGGGAAGATTTATTTTTTTCTCACAGTTTTCCCTTCCCTTTAGATTAGGATGCATGTACCATCATATCTTTAGCTGAATTAGCTTGCTCTTATCCTCTTATGGATTTCCTTGCTTGAACCAAGCCCATCAACCTCACTTATCCATTTTTTAACAAAGAGTTGGAAAGATTGTTTAAGTCTTTTAGTCATTCCTCTTGTAATAGGCCCACTTGACATCATAATACTCTTCCTAAGTGATCCAAGTCCATCCAAATTACTTGGATTTTGTCTTGAAGTCTCTTGGTCCCGTGTCTTCTCTCTTAAATGGGTCTTGTTCCATGGTTCCTTCACTTGGCTGCCCAAAAAGTCTTCTTGGTCACCCATATCTTTCCCTCCTTAGTTTGAATTATTTAAATTGTGTTTGGAATGGCTATGTCATCCATGCTCACATTATCTCCTCATTCCTCAAAAAGATTCATCCTCAAATTTAGGTCTACATAAAATATATATATATATATATATATCAAAAATATTAAATATAGCTGAGATAACAGATTCACCTAATAAGTCTATTTTGTATACATTATCATTGATATGCTCCACGGCATAAAAACGACCATCTCCTTTCCTTTCTCATATGTTTTAGAAATATGACTTATTTTTTTATTGGTGTTCTGGGCATATGATTTGTTTTTTCCTCCAAATGCCACGTCTTTTTATGCATAGCCTTAACTAATTTTGTCCTCTGTTAACCATCAGTATTAAAAAGTTTTTACAATGGTAAAGATGATAAATCAAAAAGGGTCAAAGGATTAAAACTATATCCAATTTCAAAAGAGTGATAAACCTATCGAAGAGTGAATATTACAATTATATGCAAATTATGTTAAAGGTAAACAATCCTGCCAAATTTTTAATTTTTGTTCGACAACAAGATGCAATAAAGATCCTAAAGTTTTATTTATCACTTTTTGTTTGTTCATTGTTTACAAATGACAAATAGTAGTAAATAGTAATTTAGTACCTAACTTGTACTATAAGACACACTAAAAATGACTCATAAATTTGACATCTCTATCACTAACTATAGTTCTAAGGATACCATGTAAATGAATATAATCTTTAAAGAATAAATGAGCTATATTTGTTACGTCATCTGTTTTATAACATGTAATAAAGTATGTCATTTTATTGAATTGACTCGCTACAACAATTATGTTCTCGCTCCTTCTACTTATCAATAATTTTTAAACAAAATCAATAGAAATATCAGTCAAATGAGCAGTAAAGATAGATAAAGGAATATATAGACCATGGTTAAAGATCTAGAGTTGGTCTACCTATATCCGATGCATTTTTTACAAATATAATCTTATTTATAATATGTATGTGTAATATATATATACATGTGTGAGCCTAAAAACTTTATTCATTTCAATGGTCCAGACCCAAAAGAAAACCCAAAGTGGAATTCATGATTTCAATTAAATCCAAATTCTAAATGCTCGATTAGCCAACCCCAAAAGTAGAACCTCACCGCATTCTCTCCTTCCCTTCCCTTTTACCTATTTTCCTTTTATTTCAATCTTCTTCTTTTATTTTATTTTTTTTCCCTAAAGGTTCTTCCCGCTATCCTTTTTTTTTTTCCTTTTCTTCCCCACGGGCAAGATCGTAAGAAACCCAACCCCTCACCCATTCTCCTTGAGCGAGGCTTAAAAGCTTTAAGCCAGGACGAAGCTCCTCCCCACAATATTTTGTGGAATCCCCAAAATATCACCATTTTTGGGAAGATGTTTTTAACTTTCCCTCCTTATTCTTCATCGGATGTAGAGAAGCGAGAGTTCATTAAGTTATAATCTCTCTCCAAATTTTAGTCAAAAACTGTATTTCTTTTTCATCATTTTGTGTTTCTTTCCAATGAGGTCTTCATATGTTCTACTTCATAAAAAAAAAATTATTTTAACAATAAATGTAATATTTATTAATCCATTGAACTGAGTTATAAAGTTTATTTAAAACACATACATTAAGTTATAAATTTTTAAACAATTAGATACATGATAGTGACATTAAAAAAAATCTAACAATTTTCATATGATTTACCATAATTAAAAATATTGTGTTTAATAAAATTTTCAAAAACAATATGAATTTTAAGAAATTATTACTTAGAATATTCTTAACTATAAAGCTAAAATTAACATTTTTAATTTAGATATTGAATAGTCATATACTCAAGAAAAGCATGAGAAAATAATGTACTTTTATATTTAGTTAAGTAGAAAAGGTTTTCAATTGCTTAATATTAATTGTAGGTTTGAGTTATACTATTTGCTCATTTTTCATTATTGCTTGCTCTTGTTTTTAATTTTTTTTTTCGATATGTCACTGTTAAATGCGAATATGTTATTTAAGTGATAAAACAATCAATCAGTTTTTTGAAAAAATAAATTTGAAATATTAATAGGTTAGGAAATAAAGTTTCTAATCACATTTTGGATTCAAACATTAATCATTTGGTGTTTATAGATTCTTAATTTTAAGAAAAATGGTATAAATATATAGTTTTTTCTTCAAAGAGTTTCATGACTAAGAACATTTAGAATAAAAGTTACAACGTCATTATCAATAATATTGTACAAATAGTATACCCGATTAAAAAAATTATGTCATATATATTAAAAAATTTGTTTTAGTAAAATATTTTTAAAGATGTTGTAGTCATAACAAAAGATAAATTATTTGATTTTATTACAAATTTAAATTTTTAGTTACAAATAAGATTATAATGAGATTATAAAAATAAAGTTTAACTTAAACAAAATTTGTAAAGATTTTTAGTCAAAAGTTAATATGATTTGGTCATTATTAATCCGAATAGAATAGTATATATTGTATTATTTATAAGAAAATGATTTATATCATTAAACATTAGCATAATGAAAATTTTAGTATTTATATATTCACTCGAATAAGTAGAATCAGTAAGAATTTATATTATATCTCAAATAAAAATATAAAATAATAGTATTACAATAATATAAGAGTGATTCTTTCACTTAGCTTTACTATACTTATTTTATATATAATAAATTGTATTTTGATATTAAGACCTTACAGTTATCTATATGCATTGATTAAATCATTTATCAGATATAACTAAAATTTTATACCGTCATGTAAATGATAGTTAATGATTATTCTCTCGTACTGTCAAATAGTTATTATTTTAAAATTATTCATTATTGATAGTCATAAAAATTCATTGATGAAATACTAAGGTCTGAAAGAAATTTTTTGTAATAAAATTGAACTAAACTGTAACTAAGTTATAGAGATTAATTATTAAGGATTCAATCTAAGAACTAGGGCAGATTACCAGTTGAAGTGTTTAATTAATTATTTTAGATTAAGAATTAGTTAATTTATTGAATAGGGTTAATCAGAATTTCTAAATAGTTATCATTTAAGCACATATATATTAATCAAAAGATGTTTTAGTTATGTGGGCTAAGATTCAACCTAGTTTTACAGTATATAATTCAAAGTTCCAAGAAAAGAAAGCGATGAAGGATTGTTTACCTATAGCTGATGGTAGGATCGTAACACAACAGAACTTCTAATGTCGTAATGGTATCTCAATGTTGGTCAAGGGCAGTTTTGGAATTTCAGTTCCTTTTTCAAAATATAAAATGAGTTACATTCTTGATTCAAAGCATAGAGTTAAACATACCAAGTAGGACACGACGTGGTGACTATTTGGAAGCTTAGGAAGGTGCTTTGATAAATTAGAACTAACTAAGGATTCCACTAAAATTGAAGTCCCTGAAATCCGGTAAGAGAATGTTCCTTGCTTAATCTAAATGAACAAGAACTGATAAATGCTTACATATTTATAATGTTCTCCTAAAAAGTAATTAATTAACTAAATTAAAAAGAAAATGATAACTGATATTTGCAGGGTTTATAAAGATAAGCAGGGATCATCAAAATAGTTCCTTGGTCAACATAATCCATCAGATTCCAGAATGTGATAATAATGACTTTAATATAAACAAAGAATATTTTGGTGACAATCACTGAAATCTTTGGTTTTTGGATTCTCTATTAATTTCATTTTTTTTTTTTTTAAAAAAAAAGGAACATATTTTCTAGTCCAGCTGACACCCACAAACGAAAAATGAAATAGCAAAAAAAAAAAACAACTTTGTTCAACATAATTAATGAACAGAAACTTTGCAACAACAAAACACTCACTAATAAACATTGTTCAAGGAGTTCCAGTTTGGAAAATGCAAGTACTAATATAATTTAATAATAAAGAGTAGTAGTAGGATATCCAGAACACATAAAAATTTAAAATACTAGACCTACGAAACAAGACTTCGAAGACCAAAAAGGAAAGAAAACCGCACAACAAATTGCACTTTACCAAACTGATCCCACTTTCCATACTAATAATGGAAAACCAAAATTCTCATTTAGAGGAGATCAGCAATGTTTGATGGAAGCTCCTCAATAACCACGTTATAGAACTTCTGGATGTCAGCCAGCATCCTCTCATCATCCAATGTCACAAAATTAATAGCAGCTCCCTTCCTCCCAAACCTTCCACTTCGTCCAATACGATGCAGATAGTTCTCCGGCTGTGTAGGCAGATCATAATTTATCACAAGCGACACTTGCTGCACATCAATACCACGAGCCAAAAGATCTGTCGTAATCAAAACACGCGACGACCCAGACCTAAACTCACGCATGATTATGTCTCGTGTGTTCTGGTCCATGTCACCATGGGTTGCTGACACTGTATGATCTCGGGCACGCATCTTGTCAGTCAGCCAGTCAACCTTCCTTCGGGTGTTCACAAATATCACACTTTGTGTGATCGCTAATGTCTCATAGAGATCACACAGTGTCTCCAGCTTCCATTCCTCCTTCTCAACATTCACGTAAAACTGCCTTATACCTTCCAATGTGAGTTCATCACGCTTCACAAGAATCCTCACAGGTTTGTTCATGAACTTCCTGGTAATCTCAAGGGCCTCTGGGGGCATGGTGGCAGAGAACACTCCTACCTGAACTTTTGCTGGCAGAAGCTGGAAAATGTCATAGATCTGAAACAAAGGGTGGTAAGAATTATAACCGTCAAAATCATGTAACCTCTCTGCCAAACCAAAGATCTCAATAGCCATGCACTTGGAATGAATAAAATCATAATGATAAATGAACCTTGCATTCTGATCGGTATATCTGACACAAACAAAAGAAAAAAATTACCTGATCCTTGAAACCACGTGATAGCATTTCATCAGCTTCATCCAACACAAACATCTTTATATAATCTGGGCGGAGAGACTGCCTCCTTAGCATGTCAAAGACACGTCCAGGCGTACCAACAACAACATGGACACCGCTGGACAAAATTCGCTGGTCTTCACGAACACTAGTTCCACCAACACAAGCATGCACCCGAACACCAAGGTAGTCTCCCAATGCTCTCATAACTTTCTCAATCTGTTGAGCCAGCTCACGTGTTGGAGCTAAGACCAATGCCTGGCATTCCACCAAACCATAATCAAGTTGTTGAAGTACTCCGGAACAGAAAGTGGCAGTCTTCCCTGTTCCAGACTGGGCCTGTTGGATTACATCAAGTCCTTTACAGAACGGAACAATTCCCCTTTGCTGAATTGCCGAGGGCTTTTCAAAACCTTAAAAAAAAAAAAGTATGTCTGTCAGCAACTTAGGTATACAACCCGAAACAGCAACAAATCAAATGGGCCACATTCATGAAAGGAAACAGGTGATACATTAAAACGCACAACATGTGCAGGAAGCTGGAGAAATAATTCTCAAAATGCAGAGAAATTAGCTAGATGGCGAAGACAGCTTGGAAAACAATGGGAAAAAGGTGTGTTACTTAACTATGAATATACATATAGAAGTAATTAGCCTACCATATGCATAAATTCCCCTCAGAAGATTCTCTTGGAGACCCATGGAATCGAAAGTGTCATACACCTCATCATAGCTAGTAAAGAAATCCTGACCATCAGCTGAAAGTCTGTGGAAACCAATTTATCAAACCACCTATTAGCATCTGCCTTACAAGTAATACAGCAAATTAATATTTGTAGATTCAGGAAAGCAAACAAAATAGTTACAATTTGTTTTTGAAAGAAAAACAGTCACAACATTCCTCAACAGAAATCAAAGCCCAGAACAGAAACATATGATATAAAAGAAAAGGAAACTTACAAGTCATTCATTTTGGCATCATATTGACGAGCATCAAATTGCGATCCCTCTGGTGCAAGTCCTGCCATGACTGCATAGCAGACCAAATTATTTAAAAAAAAGGATAGAAACCAAAGCATCCAGTAATGCAAAAGAAAAGAAAACACTTCAAAGCAACTGGATTTCATTTTACTAGGTTATTCTTGTAAGTTATATTCTTCCATTACTAATGTCTTTAACAAGGGTTGCAAAAAACCTATTCTAAGAAGAGGAATGAATAAAAGAACCATCCAATATTGAAAGAGTTAGAACATGTGCAATACCTTCTCAGAATCAACAAAATGGAAAGACAATAGAACCTCCAAAAGCTACTAACGCAAGTAAATCATAGAGCCAAAACACCAGGCAAGAAAAATAAATTATTAGGTGCCTAGATTAAATATCTTCACAATGAGGAAGCCCCATTTTTCTTTCTTCAGATGCCCTAAAAAAGGAGCAGGACGAGATAATTGAGAAAGAAAAAGTGAAGAAGGCTGGAATTAATCAAGCAGTTACTCTTCTGGTATGGAATCCAGGAGTTTAAAGAATATTTTTTGACAAAATTTTATTATGTTTGAAAACTGAGCATTATACGCCAAATCATCCCTGTCATTAAGTATAGAATTCTAAAATATCTAATTACGATAACTGGCTGCATCCGAAGAAGCCGATGGAAAGGAAACCCTAATTCTTACAGGAGACCTAAAACACATAACCAGAAATGACCAAAAAGGTACAAACTTAGTAGTAACTCAAAAAGTTAAAATCAGATTAACTATGCTACTGCTTCACCCACTAAATTGTATCCAAATAAATACCAAACCAGTTATTAGTTTTTAAAAAATATTCTCCACAAATTTTAATCTATAACAATTCAGCAGCTTTACATCACACATACAAACATTTATACATTAATAAAAACACGAACAAGATAAAACTGACTCGATGCGACTGCAACTGGTTTACTGCCGTATCAGAAGGAAAAAACCATTTTCGGAATTTGGGCAACAAAAAACACAATACCAATAATCAATTAGTGTATGGATGCGATTAGCGAATTATGCACATAAAGGTAACATAAAACAATAGAAGAGAACGCAATGAAATAGCTCCAAAGAGCTCATGAAAATCCCCCAAATCTAGCGAATACCAAATCAGTCGCTAGCAACTTCAAACTTCAAATCAGCATCCACAAATCGCAACACAAAAGACAAATCAGAACCAAAAACAGATATGCAGTACAGAAAACCCAAATCGGAGCCTCAAAGGAAATGAATCGAGAAAGAAACATCAAAATACCCTGCAGACACTCCAAAAATAAAGCGCATATAAAGAAAAGTAATATTAAGAATAAATGATAGGAAGCGGTCCGATCAAAAAGAAAAACAGACCTGATAGCAAATCGACGTTGAATAAAGACAAATTGAAGAGAAGCTTTTGATTTAGGGTTTTCCCAAACTCCTCGGATCTACGCCGCGGAGTTGAGGAAGAAGGTTTTTTCAGGAACAAGAGAAGCCGAAGCGAGTAAAGTGAAGAGGGAGAGAGTTGAGGGCTGAGGGTTCTATTTATCGAAGAGTATGTTGTCGTTTCCAATGACGATGGGTTTGTATGAATTTACGTAATTGCCCCTGATTCCCAATTCTTCTGAGTTCTTTGGGCCTCCAGACCAGACGAGTTCAGGCTGGAGCGGGTAAAGCCCGACTATTTCTCCTTGCGGTTTTCAAAGTGAATAAACATTGAATTTCCAGATTTGACCCCGATTTTTATTTCTAATTTCTTTTATTTTTCAAAAAAATATGTATTTAAAGATATATTATTATTATTATTATTATTATTATTATTGTTATTATTATTTAGAAAGTCAATTATTTTTATGCCACTTAAGAACCTCTTTTTAGAAGAATTTAAGAACTATTATTATTGAAAAAATTAAAAAAAAAAAGTATCATTGTCTTTTTACCAAAAAGTAGGCACTATTCTCATGTTTAATTTTCTATTAAAAAATCATTAGTAGATGAAATACATATATCATACTATTTCTTTTGAGTAATCATTTAGTGTAATTTGTTTTTATTGCGAGTGATAAAGATGATATTAAATAAATTTTTAGTAAAAGTATTTTTGTTAAAAAGTTATATTGTATTTGTTAAAAATAATTGTATAAAATATATTATCTTAAAAAATACAAGTTATTGTAATGAATAATCACTTAGATATTCGCAAAATATAAGAATTATTAATTTTTTGATAAATAAATATTAATTCAATTATTTATTTTATAATAAAAATCTATTGTTAAATTATATTTATTGATTTTAATAATTAAAAAAAACTTAATTTTGCACGAACAATTGTTAATTGAGTGTATGAGCTAACTAGCGATATATATTAAAAAAATGGAAGGGAATACTCAAAACCATAATAATATATCTGCGTAATAATATATATAATTTGAAGAATCAACTTCATATGCTTAGAGGATATTGTCTTTAAAGGTTGATATTATAACATCTCAAGGCCAAAAATTAGGCTCGAAATCATTAAATTTATTTATTTTTAATAATAATAATGTGTGGGGTTTAATTTTAATTTTTTTATAGATATATGTATTTTGGGTACTTTTGAAAATAATTTTAAAAAGTATGGTGAAATTAAAAATAATGGAAAACCCATTTAAAAAGAAATTCAGAAAAGAGAGGTCAATTCGCAAAAAAGAAGAAACAGGATAAGGGGACACCCAATTAACGGCATGAGGAATCACCGCACTTGTGTGGCGGATATGCCGACACGGGCTCCACAGGGGAAGCCACGCTGACAATCTGCGTATCAGGCCAATCGAACAGCTCGGGGCCACTCCCGCGCGCGCGAACGGCCCAGATCAATGTTTCGAATAGTCTCGATTAAACGACCTGCGTGTCTCTAATCAAACGGTCTGAATGCGTCTCCCATATGAGTGTGATCGGACGACCTCCGTTGCGCAACATGGACCTGTACGGACGACCCCAATTAAAGAAAGAGAAGTATTTAAACCTCTCTTACCCAGTTCCCTAAAACCCTAACTGATGCTTTGACCAGATAAGAAGAAGAGGGGCGATCAGAGGAGAGTTTAGTCATCGGAGAGACGTCGACGCCACTCTGCCAAAAACCTAAAACATGCTGGTAAGCCTAAATTTCCTTTCCGTTCTTCCTGTTTCTCTGTCCTTAGCTGTTTAACACGTTTTCAATATATGGTGACCGAGAGAAGCCGCAAACTGCGAGGGAAGGACAACAAAGCTCGGTTGAGCCGCTGTACCTAAGGACTAAAATTGCAAGTAAGACCCTATTTTTTCCTCCACCCTCTAACCCTGATTTAAACAGATTTTCACTAGGAATTGACTAAAATTTGTTTAGTTGAAAGGAAGAATCGTTGGAGAAGGAAGACCAGGCGGCGAAGAGCGGTGGGGCTGCTGCGCCAGAATCCCAACCCAACCCCTGGTAAGGTTGTTTTTGCCTTTTTTGCCATTCGTTGTGTATTTTCACGCCTTTTTGATGTACGTTTTTAAACTTACCACGAAAACTCAAAAAAGCCAAGAACTAGGAACCATTGAGAACCATAATAAAAAAGGCGATGTCCAAGACACCGATCCAATGTAAGAATCTCTCACCATTTTTTCCGTTATGGTTAATTAAAGCTAAATTGATAATAAACAAGAATTATAAACAGTTTGGCGATCCTTTGATTAATTAAATATTGGTTGTCGATTGAGCCAATAATCAATTTGTCTATGTTCGTCACTAATTTAATTGTGTCATTTACATTTAATTCCACAATCATTTTATTTTGTATATTATTTTATTTTGTTATATTTTAATTTACCTTTCTCTATTTTACCTTAATCTATATCCTCTCAGTTAGCCTAATATGTTTTCTATTCTTCTAGCGTTATATCTATCTAGAATTAATATATTAAATATGCATTTTGAATCATTGTGTCTTATTCCATTTCGTTTCATTATCACGTCCCACTATACTT